TCCTCCTCCTCCTCCTCCTCCTCCTCCTCTCCTCCTCCTCCTCCTCCTCCTCCCTCCTCCTCCTCCTCCGCCTCCTCCTCCGCTCCTCCCCCCCCCCCCCTCCTCCTCGCCCCCCCCCCCCTCCTCATCCTCCTCCTCCTCCTCCTCCCTCCGCCTCCTCCGTCTGCTCCTCGTCCTCCTCCTCCTCTCCTCCTCCTCCTCCTCCTCCTCCCTCCTCCTCCTCCCTCCTCCTGCTCTTCAGATTCATCCTCCACGTCCTCCTCCTCCTCCTCCTCCTGCCTCCTCTTCCTCCTCCTCCTCCTCCTCCTCCACTCCTCCTCCTGCGCGTCCTCCTGCGCGTCCTCCTACTCCTCCTCCTCCTCCTCCTCCTCCTCCTCCTCCTCCTCCTCCTTCTCACATACCTCCTCACATTCCTCTTCATCCTCATCATCAGAATCATCAACATCATCACCAGCATCACCCGCGTCACCAGCATTACCACAACAACCATCATCTCATCATAATCAGCAGCAACATCATCAGAATCATCAGCAGCATCATCAGCAGCAGCAGCATCATCGCCATCATCACCAGCATCATCGTCGTCATCATCGGCATGATCAGCATCAGCATCAGCATCATTAGCATCATCATCATCATCATCATCAGCAGCAGCATCATCATCATCATCATCATCATCATCGTCGTCGTCGTCGTCGTCATCATCATCATCATCATCATCATCATCATCATCATCATCATCAGCATCATCATCATCAGCATCAGCATCACCATCATCATCAGCAACATCAGCATCAGCAGCAGCAGCAACATCGTCATCCGCAGCATCGTCATGCTCACCATCATCAGCATCATCACCTCCGTTATCATAATCAGCATCATCAGAATCAGCATCGTCATGATCAGCATCATCATCATCGTCATCAACATCAGCATAATCATCATCAGCATCATCAGCCGCAATAGCATAGTCATCATCGGTATACACATATGCAGTATCAGCAGCAGCAGCAGCAGCATCAGCAGCAGCATCATCAGCAGCATCGTCAGCATCATCAACATCGTCATCACCATCACCATCATCATCATCATCATCATCAGCAGCAGCAGCCTCAGCATCATCGTCATCAGCATCATCGTCATTATCAACATCATCACCACCATCATCATCAGCATCATCATCGACATCAACAGCATCATCAACATGACCATCATCATCCGCTCCTCCTCCTCCTCATCCTGCTCACCATCCTCATAATACTCGTCCTCATCACCGTATCCTCCTCATAATCTCAATCGTTTCGATCATTAGCAATAGGATCGTCAGCTTCATAATCATCGTCAGCATCATCATCATCATCATCATCATCATCATCATCATCATCATCATAATCATCAGCATCGTCGGCAGCATCATCATCATCGTTACCAGAATCACAACCAGCATAATCAGCATCATCATAATCAGCAGCAAAAGCAGCATAATCACCATCAGCATCATCATCAGCATAATCAGCGTCATCATCAGCATCAGCATCATCAACCTCATCAATATCAGCATCATCAGTATCATCAGCAGCATCACCATCCTCAGAAGAATCCCATCAGCCCTTTGGGCGTGAGTGGTTTAGGGAGCTCTCTCTATCCTCAACCCCCCTTCTTCCCCTTCGGGGAGGGGTCTACCCCTCCCCCTCCCCCCCCCCCTCCCCCCTTGGGCCTGGAGAGGGAGTCCCGCGGGTGGTCAGGGTGGTCTTTTTCGACTCCTGGGAGGGCCAAAAAACTACGACCCTCACGAGGATTCTGGCCCCGTCGGGGGGATACAGAAAAAACCCTCTCCTCTTCTGTGAAGCCAAAATCATTGATTTTACTACGGTTTGGGCCCCAGTTTGGCCTTCTGAGGGGGCAGTGCTCCTCTTCCTTGTTCTCAAAATCATTGGTTTTACGAAGGTTTTGGGCTCATGTTGTCCTTCTCAGGGGGTGGCGCTCATTTGCGCTTCTGAGGTCGCAAGAAGCCCCCAAGAGGCCCCAAGAGGCCCCCAGGAGGCTCCCAAGAGGCCTCCAAGAGGCACCCCAGAGGCCCCCAAGCGGCCCGAAGAGGCCCCCAAGAGGACCCCAAGAAGCCCCCAAGAGGCCCCCAAGAGGCCCCAAGAGGCCCCCAAGAGGCCCCCAAGAGGCCACACGAGGCTCCAAGAGGCCCCCAAGGGGCCCCACGAGGAGCCCGAACGACTCACATCAGGACGAGGGGCCCGAACGACTCACACCACGAAGAGGCCGAACGACTCACACCACAAGGAGGGGCCCGACCGACTCACACCAGGACGGGGCGCCCGAACGACTCACACCACGAGGAGCCCGAAGGACTCACACCACGACGCGGGCCCCGAACGACTCACACCACGAGGAGCCCGAACGAGTCACACCAGGAGGAGGGGCCCGAACGACTCACACCAGGACGACGGGGCCCGAACAACTCACACCACGAGAAGCCCGAACGACTCACACCAGGACGAAGAGCCCGAACGACTCACACCACGAAGAGCCCGAACGACTCACACCAGGAAGAAGGGCCCGAACGACTCAGACCAGGACGAGAAACCCCAAACGACTCAAACCACGAGGAGCGCTGTCTCTCCCTCCTCCTTCGCCTCGTCCTTCTCCCGCTCCCCCCACAAGGAGGATGTACAAGGAGGCGGGAGGAAGGAGGAACAGGGGAGATATGCGGGGCCCAGCGGACACACGCCTGAAAAACACGACTGCCGGCATGGACTAGCATCGTCACCAGTATCATGAACAGCATCATTGCCAATAGAAGCATCGTCATCATCATCAGCATCATCATCCTCTTATCGTCATCATCCGCAAAATCATCAGCATCAGCATCATAATCATCAGTAGCATCAGCATCAGCATCACAATAATCGTCGTCGTCAGCATCATCCTCATCCTAATCCTCATCATCATCATCATCATCATCATCATCATCATTATCATCATCATCATCATCATCATCATCATCATCATCATCATCATCATCATCATCATCATCATCATCATCATCATCATCATCATCGTCACTACCACCATCATTGCACAACCATCATCACCATCATCATCATCATCATCATCATCATCATCATCATCATCATCATCATCATCATCATCATCATAATCAGCATCATCATCATCATCATCATCATCATCATCATCATCATCATCATCATCCTCCTCCACATCATCAGCATCATCGCCATCAGCATCAGCATCAGCATCAGCATCAGCATCAGCATCATCATCATCATCATCATCCTCATCATCAGCATCATCATCATCAGCATCATCATCGTCATCATCATCATCATCAGCATCATCAGTATCGTCATCATCATCATCCCAAACCTCGGGAACCCCCGACGCTGGGATCTCGTGGGATCCTTCCGACCTCAGACCTCCTGCTGGCCGAGCCGTGACCCTTGCGGGCTTGGTTGTTCCCCAGAGGTCCCAGGGTTAGTTATCATCAGAATCAGCATCAGCAGCATCAAAATCATCGACATCAGCATCAGCATCTTATCGTCATCGTCATCGTCGTCGCCATCGCACTCGCCATCATCCTCATGATCATCATCATCAGCAGCAGCAGCATCATCATTATCATCATCATCGTCGGCGTCGTCGTCATCATCACCACCACATCATCATCACCACCACGAGCATCATCAGTAGCAGCGTCATCATCCTGACCATAATCAGCAGCAACAGTAACAGCAGCGTATCATCATCCATCGTAATCGTCAGTGCCAGCCCCATCATCATCATCATCATCATCATCATCATCATCATCATCATCATCATCATCAGCATCATCATCATCAGCAGAAGCATCATCACCATCATCATCATCATCATCATCATCATCACAATCATTCTCAGAATCTCGTCATTATCATTATCATTATCATTATCATCATCATCATCATAATCATCATCATCAGTATCATCATCATCATCATCATAATCATCATCATCATCATCATCATCGTCATCATAAACATTATGGCCATTAGTATCATCATCAGCATCATCAGCATCATCAGCATCATCATCGTCATCATCATCCTCACCATCATCGCCGTCAGCAACCTCATCATCGACGTCATCCGTATCATCATCAGCATCAGCATCAGCATCAGCATCTCCATCGTCATCGTCATCATCATCAAATTCGGCACCATCGTCATCATCATCAGCATCAACATCATCATCGTCAGCATCGTCACAGCCATGATCATCATCATCATCATCGTCATCATCGACGGCGCCATGTTCCTGACCATAGGCATCATCGTCATCATCATCATCAGCAGCAGCAATAGCAACATCATTCTCAGTACCGTCCATATCTTTATCGGCATTATCAACGAAGTCGTCGTCGCCACCGCCGCCTCCATCATTGTGATAATCCTGATCAGCAGCATCATCACTAGCATCATCCGCAGCATCATAAGCATCATCGCCAGCGTCGTAACCATCAGCATCATCATCACCAGCATACTCATCATCATCCTCATCATCATCATCATCATCATCAGCATCGTCATCATCGTCATCATCAGCATCCTCATCAACCTCCTCCTCATCATCAGCAGCAACATCAGCATCAGCATCAGCATCATGATCACAATAAGAAGAAGAATCGTCATCATCACCATCAGAATCACCATCATCATCATCAGCATCATCAGTATCAGCAGCAGCAGCATCATCCTCTCCCCCCCTTCCCTCTACATCCTACTCCTGTTCTCTCCTCCACCAGCTGCTCCACTTCATCATCCTCCCCTGGGCCCTCCTCCACCTCCATCGTTCGCGGTAATATCCTGGCTGCTCGTGTACGTGGTCTCACTGCTCTTCGTCCAGATCCTCACCGGGATGGTCACCGTCATCGTCATCGTCGTCGTCATCATCCTTATCCTTGTCCTCACCCTCGTTCTATAAAGAGGTCCAGCCTTTCGCACCCCTGGCGAACGAGACTTTTGCGTCCGGGTTGAGCTTCCGCACCTCCTCCCGGAGGCGCTCGATCTCCTGCCAAGGGGCTCAGCGGATGAAAGGCACACAATTCTTGGAGGAGATAGGGGGGGGGGCACAAGGCAAGGTGGAAAGGGTGAGGGAAGTGGGAAGAGATAAGGTGGAACGAGGAATCGCTGGATGAGGAAGAGAGCAGGGATGAGGAGGAGGCCTAGTAGCAGCAAGAGGGAGGGATGGGGCATTGAGGGGGGAGCACGAGGAATGAGTGGAAGAGTACTCTCTTCTCCTCCTCCTCCTCCTCCTTCGCCTCCCCCCCTCCGCTTTCATCTGTCATCCCTCTGGCCTCCTTCGTCCACGCTTCCTTCCCCACACTCACCTCCTCCTCCTCCTCCTCCTCCTCCTGCTCCTGCTCCTCCTCCTCCTCTTCTTCTTTCAAGTATTAGTATTATTGTTATCATTATTATTCCTCCTGCTCCTCCTCTTCCTCTTCCTCCTCCTTTTTCTCCTCCTCCTCCTCCTTCTCCTCCTCCTCCTCTTCCTCCTCCTCCTGGCGGGGTACCCGTGGCGCAAGGTGTCGAGTCGTATTACGCCGGCGGCAAGGAGGAGCTGACGTGCGACAACCAGTCAGAGCTCGCGCAGGACGCCATGGGCAGCAGGCGGTAATCCCTCGCACGCAGAGCGAGGTAAGGGAGGCGCGGGAGAAAAACACGCAGGAACCCACGCTCTGCGTGCATAAAGCTGCCCAGCACGAAGTGGGAGCCAGCACAGTCAACCCCGGGCCCTCGGGAAAGGTGCAGAAGGAGGAGGAGAAGAAAGAGAGGAGGGTGAAGGACAAGAAGCAGAAGACGGTTGTAGGCGGCGCTGTCCACCAGCAGGGTGCAGGCGCAGGTGCTGCCAGCCCCGAGCCAGGCGGGAACGGGCCGGCGGGATGCAAGCAGGAGGAAGAGCAGTCGGAGGATGCCGAGCGGGTGCGTGGCGAGGCCCAGCAAGAAGAAGCATCTTGCAGCGGGGCCCGCGTGCGCTGCTGGGCGTCGGAGCTGGCTGACTCGGAGCACTACTCCCATGGGAACGACGGTGGGCTGAGAGGGCAGGCGCCAGAGGTCGTCGGAAGCAGGGTGGTGGCAGAACTGCAGGACGGTCTGATCCGCTTCCAGAAAAAGCCAAGGCGGAGGGATGTCCCCTGGAGGCGCTGACGCACGCAGCTGGCGGTTGAGCTAGCACCAGCCTTCGCCACTGCGGCAGCGGCAGCGCGAGCCTTGCGCCAAGCGAAGGGCTCCTGGGGTGCGGCGACTCGCGGGGAGCGCTGCGGCCCCGGGGCCCAGGCACAGGTGGCGGAACTGCTCGCCCCCAGGCTGCTGTGAAGGGGCCCTGGGACACACAAATAAACACGCACTAATAAAAAGATTCGCCATATTTTCCCATATTTCCTGGGTTTTTGTCTTCCCCACCACTTCCCATATTTTCCCAAATTTTCGGGGGAATCGACGATTCACTGTGTCTGTGTGGTTTTTCCCCTCCTGATGCTGGCCGGCCCCCGTCGGGCTGCTAGCGGGCCCGGGCGCTGCCTCAAGCGTGGCTCCGCCACTCGCGGGGAACGGGTGGGGTTGGGGCCCCGCGGCTCGAGCGGAGTGCCGCGGCCGACGCCCTCACAGGGGAGCGACAGGCCCCCTGCTCCCGTCCTCTGCCGGCCCTGCTCGGGCTGCGGGTGGCCAGGGGCAAAGCCATCTTCCTGGTCGTCGGCACGCTCTGAGGGCCGTCCCCTCTGCGGGATCACACACCATGCCATGCCATGCCCTGCAATGCCAGGCCATGACTCCTCCTCCTCCTCCTCCTCCTCCTCCTCCTCCTCCTCCTCATCATCATCATCCTCCTCATCCTCCTCGACGTCGTCGACGTCGTCGTCATCACCACCACCACCACCAGCACCACCACCATGCCTATGCTCATGATCATGGTCATGGTCATCACTATCATCATCGTCATCAGCAGTAGCAGCAGCATCAGCATCATGATCAGCATCATCATCAGCAATATCAAAATCAGTATCAGCATCAACAACGTCATCCACATCATCAGCATCATCACCATCATCAGCATCATCAGCATCATCAGCATCATCATCAGAATCATCCACCACATAAGCAGCATCAGCATCATCATCAACACCAGCATCACCACCATCAGCATCAGCGGAACCATCATGATCATCAGCATCATCATCACCACCACCACCACCACCCGCATCAGCCTAATCATCAGCAGCATCAGCATCAGCAGCAGCAGAAGCATCAGCATCAGCATCGTCATCATCATCATCATCATCATCATCATCATCATCATCATCATCATCATCATCATCAGCAGCATCAGCATCAGCATCAGCATCATCATCAGCATCATCATCGGCATCATCATCGTCATCATCAGCAGCAGCACCACCATCATCAGCATGGTCAACTTCCTCATCATCACCACCATCAGCATCATTAGCAGCATCATCATCAGAAGCATCAACAGCAGCATCAGCAGCAGCACAAACACATCATCAGCACCATCACCGTCATCGGCATCGTCGTCGTCATCATGATAATCATCATCATCATCATCCAATCGTCATCCTCATCATCATCATCATCATCATCATCATCATCATCATCATCATCATAATCAGCATCGTCAGCATCATCATCAGCATCATCATAATCATGATCATCATCATCATCATCATCATCATCATCATCATCAGCATCATCATCATTATCAGCAGCTACATCGGCAGCAGCATCGTAATCGTCGTCGCCATCATCACCTTGCCCATCCCCTTCACCATCACCATCACCATCCTCGGCATCATCATCGTCAAGACCAGCAGCAACAACGTCATCATAATCATCCGTCTCCTCATTCTCATCCTCCTCCTCCTCCTCGTCATTACCAGCCCCACCACCGCCACCGCCACCATAAGCCCCAGCGCACCCAATATCCGCTTCCTGCTCTCCCTCCTTGTCTCCCTCCCTCCTCCTGAGGAGGAGGCGTTTTCAAACTGCCGCAGGGGGGAAACTCATGGGGAAACTTTCACATGCGCAGGCCGCCTTCCGAGAAACAAAACGACGACCTCGCACCAGCAAGCGCGCTCAATGTTCGCCCCCCCCGTTGACGCCACCCCCAAGTGGAGCTGAAGGATCCTCCCAGTTCCCTTCCCACAGGCAAACCGCCTGAGACATCCCACGGTGTGGGCGCAAAGGGTGGCACGGAAACCACCACGCTCGGCCCCTCCATGGGGCGGCCAACTGCTACGACTGCTGTAGCGCGGTGAGCATGGGGCTCTCGATAGAAAGGAGCCCAAACAACCAAAAAGGCAATGAGACCCCCCCCCCGCCCCCCCCCTCCAAAAAACAGATGGGCAAGACTGGGGACATGAAACCACCCCTGGCCGCTCCTGCTGGGGGGCGTCCATATGTTACGCCTGCTACATCGGGTAGAAGTTAGTCTCAGCGTGGGCAACTCCGAGCGCGACTGAACGTGTGCGTGATTGGGTCTGTGTACGAGTGAGCCTGAGTGTGAGAGTGTCTGATCGCGGGTGATCGAAAGTATGTGTGACTGAGCGTGTTTGGTGGGCGTGCTTTTAGATGAGAGTGAATGTGGGTGAGTCTGAGTGCGAGCGATAGGAAGTAGCAACGGAAAGGAAAGAGATGCGAAGGCAGGAAAGAAGGGGGCGGATGCGTTCACACTGACCCGCCACCGTGCCCTGAGGCACGAGTTGGAATGTCCTCGGGTCCTTGGCCTAATCCATAAGCCTCAGTCCTCATCCCCGACGAGTCTTCAAACAAACGGTGAGTTGCCTCAAGTGTTGAAGGATTTGGGCATTCTCGCCTGTTCGGCTTCCCGAGGCCCCAAGACGGCCCAAGAGGACCCCAAGATCGCCCCAAGACGGCCCAAGAGGCCTCCAAAATGGCCCCAAAACGGCCAAAGAGGGCCCCAAGGCGGCCCAGGAGGCACCCAAGACGGCCCAAGAGGCAAAAGACTGCTCCAAGAGGGGGCCCAGATGGGAGCCCTCTGCCCACAGAGGCCCACAAGAGGCCCCAGGCCCCAAGAAGCCCCCAGGAAGCCCCAAGAGGCCCCCAAGAGACCCCCAAGAGGCCCCAAAACTGTTCCCAAGAGGCCCCCGAGATCGCTTCAATGAGACCCCAAGAAGCATCCCTGGGCAGAGTGGCAAGATGGGCTGAAGGCCCTTGGAAAACAAAAGCCGATATTAGGATATGGGGAATACATTCTCATAGGATTCGGCGTAGCGGCGACTGGCAAAGCTACGCTAAATTCGTGGCACAAGGCTGATATTGACCGAGATACGTAGCGTCGACGACAAGATTGGACTGATTCCCGAGGCGTTGTGACCGGTAAATGCCCCCAAGATGGCCCCAAAACGGCCCAAGAGGGCCCAAGACGGCCCAAGAGGCACCCAAGACGGCCCAAGAGGCGAAAGACTGCTCCAAGAGGGGGCCCAGATGGGAGCCCCTCTGCCCACAGAGGCCCCCAGGAGGCCCCAGGCCCCAAGAAGCCCCCAGGAAGCCCCAAGAGGCCCCCAAGAGACCCCCAAGAGGCCCCAAAACTGTTCCCAAGAGGCCCCCGAGATCGCTTCAATGAGACCCCAAGAAGCATCCCTGGGCACAGTGGCAAGATGGGCCGAAGGCCCTTGGAAAACAAAAGCCGATACTAGGATACGGGGAATACATTCTCATAGGATTCGGCGTAGCGGCGCCTGGCAAAGCTACGCTAAACTCGTGGCGCCAGGCTGATATTGACCGAGATACGTAGCGTCGACGACAAGATTTGACTGATTCCCGAGGCGTTGTGACCGGTAAACTCCCGTTCTGTGTCCAAGAAAGTGGTCCACACTCGTCTACCACCAACCCGTCTCAGACTCGTTCATTCATTGGCCAGCTGGGATGTTTTTTTTTCGGTCGCGGCCGCAAGCAGAGGGCAGGCGGCGAGAGGGGGTCCGGGGCACGGGCCAGCCTAATTAGCTACTAAGCGACACGCAAGCCGGCCGGGCCAGCACTCAGAAGCGGCGGCTGAGGTGCAGCAGCGGCTGGTGGAACTGGATGGCCAGCTGGGATGCGCGCTGCGTCAAGAATTAAGAGGAGAGATGGGGACAGGGAGTGAGGATGGAGAAGAGAAGGTAACGAAGGGACGAGAAAGGAGAACCTGGCGGAGAAGGAGAAGCACAGGGGGATGGACGAGTAGCGGGAGAAGCATACCGAAGAGGAGAGGAAGAGGGAGGAAGAGGAGAGGATGGTTCCAGAGGTCACAGAGAAGAGCACCGAGACTGAAGCGTTCAGAATAGCCGCGCACGGAGCACCACCTACCGCATCACAGTGCCCCATCATAGATTGCCCAACACATAGACGAGACACGTCTAGGTGCACCAGTGATGCCTCCCCACCGAGCTGATTGTTGAGCTCGTCGTTAAAAGGGCAGAATCGTGGGCCACAAGTTTATCAGGATCTGGGCCAGCTCCTGAGCATCGACGGGAACGAAGGCATCAGAGAAGTACCCGATCTCAGCAGGACATCCGAGGAACTCAACACGGATCCTGAGGATCGTCACGGGGACATCGGCGGTGCGACAGATGTAGATCCCACATCCCAGACATGTACTGCCGACCACAGCATGCGCCATGCCTTTGAAACCACACACACACACACACACACACGCACGCACACACACGCACACACACACACACACATACACTAGAACCGTCGCGCGCGCTTCGCGCGCGCTCAAGTTCTAGCCCAGGCCGGGGGGCGCTGGAAGATCTTGGACAGCGCTACCAAGCACTAGCGCGTGACATAGTCGTGCCTCCTGAGGGCCTCTTGGGGACCTCTTGGGTCTTCGTGGGGGCATCTGAAGGGCCTCTGGGGGGTTCTCCGTGCTTCCTCAATTTGCTGTTGGACGAACCTCTTGGGTGCTTCTTGGGGGGGGGGCGTCTCGGGGCTTCTTCGGGTCCCTTGGGAACATCGTCAGGGTTCTCCGGGCAGTCGGAAGGTGATGTTCTGCAATCTGAAGCCGTCATTGGCCATCTTGGCTGCGTGGACCCCCCGACTTGAGGGCGCCTGGGGCTACACTGAGGCAATCCGGAAGCCTCCGGGGGGCCTCCTGCAGACAGTTTTGATGCATCGAGGGCACTGTTGGGCAATCTTGGGGCCCCTTGTACGTCTCCTTGGTGCCTTTTGGGGCCACTTGGGAGGTTTATGGGGGCCTCGTCGGACCACTTGGGGACTCTTGGGGCCTTCTCTGGGCCTCTTAGGGCGGAAGACTCTGCTGTTGGGTTCGCGTTCCCATTCTTGGGCCTCTCTTGGGACCGTCTTGGGGCCCTCTCGGGTCGTCTTGGGCGCCTCAGGCACCGTCTTGGGGCCTCGTGGTCTGCCTTGGGGCCATCTTCGAAGCCTCTTCGGCTATCGTGGAGCGGTCTCGGGGGCCTCTTTGGCCGTCTATGAGCGTCGGGATGCCAAAAGGCTGAAACGCTAAAATGCACCAAACACCAAAGGAATATCCGTGATTTTGGTTTCTTGGGGCCATTTTGGGAGTGCGGGCCATCCAGAGGCCATCTTGGGCGTACTAGAAGGATAACTCCGCGATAGTAGGCCTCCTGGAGGCCTCTCGCATAGTAGGCCTCTTGGAGGCCTCTTGCGGCCCTTTTCATCTGTGTTGGGGCTGTCTTGGGCGGTCTGGAAGCGCCCCTGGCGCCCCGACACCCCTATGGCGCGTCGGGCCCCCCCCCCGCCTCGGTCCAGGGATATGTACATGTGTGTATATATATATATATGTATATATGTATGTGTATATATATATACATTCATATATATATATATATATATATATATTCATATATCTATATATATGTACATACATACATACATACATACATACATACATACATACATACAGACAGACAGACAGACAGACAGACAGACAGCCAGACAGACAGACAGACAGACAGACAGACAGACAGACAGACACACATACATACATACATACATACATACATACATACATACATACATACATACATACATACATACATACATACATACATACATATAGATAAACATGTTTGAAATTATATGTATATACACGTATACATATACATGTGTCGATAGCTGTGTGTATATTTCTATACATATGTATATATATATATACATATATAGATCGAACTTTTTATAATATATATATATATATATATACATATCTATATTTATATGTATATATATATGTGTATTGGAGCCTCTCGGGGGCTTCCTGGGGGCCTCTTGGAGCCTCTTGGGGGCATCTTGGGGCGGAGAGTTTGATTTTTCAGTTCGCGTTCCCTCTCTTGGGCCCTTCTTGGGGCCTTCTCGGGACCTCTTTGCGTCATCTTGGGCGGCTCTGAGGCCGTCTCGGGGCTCTATTGGGCCGTCTTGGGGCCCTCTTGGGGGCCTCTTGGGGGCCTCTTGGGGGCCTCTTGGAGCGGTATTGGGCGCCTCCTGGACGGTGCTTTAGGGCCGGAAACACGAAACAGCGAGAACGCAAAGAAGATTGAAAAAAACCAATGAAAATCAACGATGTTGCCCTCTCGGGGCGCTCTTGGGCGGAAGGCCTCTTGGGGCGTCTTGGGGGCCTCTGGGGCAGTTTAAAACCCTTCGGCGTCGCCAGGGACCCCTGGACGGCGTCTTGGGGGTGTCTCGAGACCGTCTGGGGCCGCTGGGATTGCTGTCTGAGGGCTCCCCGGGTCGATTTTAGGTCTCCCAAAGGCGGACCCGGGCCCTGGGACCAACATTTGCGGTCGAGATTCCGGCCCTCGGCCCCCGGGCCCGCTGCGCCGTTTTATTATATACACACCTGCTGCTAACTCTCATCTTTCTGGCCAGGCAGGAGGACCGACGATCCTTGAGAAGCACGTAACGCCTCACTCGAAGAGTCATATGATGTCCTGGGTCGAAATGAATACCGAGGTGGCTGCATCATTCTAAAAATCCAAGGAGCCTTGCGAGTCTCGTCATACTCTGCAGCGCACAGTATTCGATGATCGCCGTAGTACAACGCCGAGGAGCATTCACCATCAAGTCACGCGAGAAGCCCAGAGGATCACGAGGCGAGACGGACGGCTGATACACTCTCCTCGGCCCTGAGGATGAGGAGGAGGAGGAGGACGACGACGACGACGGAGGACAAGGGATGAGAGGACGGAGGACAAGGGATGAGAGGAGAGGAGAGGAGAGGAGAGGAGAGGAGGATGCGAGGACGCAGATCAGAAAGAGGAGGGAGAGGTGAATGCGGAGGAGGAAGGGGTGAGGCGAGGGGAGGGGGGGCGCCGACGAGCGGCGCGGATCCTGCACCGTGAAGTGGGTGCGGCGCGCCAGAGACCTGGCTGACTACCCAGCAGACCACCCCCAACCTAACCCAAAGACCCATATTTCGGTTTTGGGGGTACGGGTTCCACATGTGTGTTGTTCAATGTTCCCCGGCGCACCCCACTGGGAGACCGGGAACGGAGGGCAAATTGGGGCCTTCGGGTTGGGCTGGGGTGGTTTGGTGGGTGGTGACTGGCTGCGGGCGCGCGATGAGCCTTTACAACAGACCCACAAGCCATGCGCACCTCAACCGCCGATATCCGCTGGGACGCACGAGGACATACTTGCGCTGTGTGTCCTCCTTGGAGGCGTGCGCCCGACCCGACCACACAGCACAGCCATCTTGTAAGATGCCGTTTCCCGAGCGGTGTGGCCAGAAAGCGCCCGCCACCGCACTTTATACTATCAGACTTCTCGGCGGGCGCGCCGCCCCAGGGGGGGACGAAGCACACTCAGTATTAGAACGTCGGGGAGACGCCGAATGTTAGGAGGCAACTACTGGGAGGTTTTCGTCGGAAAGAGTAAGGTGGATAAAGCCCCATTTCGGAGCTGTTACGCCGGAGTGGGTCTCGGACTAAGCGGGATCAAGCCGGATTGAGCGGGATTAAGCGGGAGTAAGCTGGATTAAGCGGGATTGAGCGGGATTAAGCGGGATTAAGCCGGATTAAGCGGGATTTCGGACCAGGGCTAAATCAGAACTTGACCTCCCAGGAGTTGCATCCAAACGAGTGGGGGGAAAGGGCTCAGGGAGGGGGAAACATCGACCTGGAATCGGCGATTCGTCGTCACTGATCGGGGATAGGCTGGGTGGGCGATCGGGCCCCTGTCGGCGATCGATGGGCGATTGGGATCCATGCGCTCCCGCTCCAGCCTGAGGCCCTGAGCACATCCCCCCTTGACATTGCCCTGGACTTTCAGGCCATAACTCGGCTGTCTGGCGGCCGCTCGGGACCATCTGGGCATCCTGGGACGCTCTCGGCGAGGCAAAACCGCTGGAAGGCATCCCGAGGCTGGAAGGCCGCCGAGAACTGACTAAAAAACCAGAACAGCCAAAAATCCAGAAAACCTCCCCAAAAAACGCCCCTGCCGTTGCTCCTGATGAACGGGACTGCCCAGCTGGAGAACTTGAAGCGACCTATTGACTGCGGGCGATTGCGCGCGAATCAGTAGGGGGCGTAACAGGGGGGCGGGAAGGAAGGTGCCATCTTCGGACCCTGAAGGCCCCCTTCTGGGCCCTGAAGGGCCCCTCTGGGGGCCCTCAAAGGCCCCACGAGGAGCCCCAGAGGGCCCCTTTTTCGGCAGCCCTCGCTGCCCCCCCATCTATCAGGCCTCGTTCCAAGACACCCAAGATGGCCTCAAGACGGCCCAAGAAGCCCCCAAGACGGCCCAAGAGGCCCCCAAGAGAACTCCCAAGAGGAAGGATAGGGGAGAGGAGCAGGGGGAGTTGGGACTAAACCCCTGAGATCCAACATGGATTCCGCAGGAGCTTCGATTAACCAAACATCAAAACTGCACCAATCCGGGAATGAGTAACCACGGGAACAACCCCCTACCTCCGATCGAATCGCGAATTCGGATCGCATCGGGAACGGATCGAGTCGCCAACGAATCGCCCCACACCGAACCGAAATCCAATCACCGCGCCCAGAGCTCCTGCTGGCCCTGGCCGCTTCTGGTGATCCGAGCCGAATCGAACCGAATCGGAACCGCGGGCCTCGCCATCGCTCGGACGTCCATTCCCTGTGTTTTTGTTCGGCTTCGTGCGTGGTTTTTTCGCCAAATGATCAAGGATGCTCCTCGGTGGTCCTCGCCGAGGAAAACACGCACACGTCCGAGCGATGCCAGGGGGCCCAACCAGCGAAGCGAACCGCATCGCATTGCACCGCAGGTGGCCCCGCCCAGCGCCCCCCCCACGGGAGACCCGGCGCGGCGCGGGCCGCCCGCCCATGTGAGGCGGGGGCGCGCCCCGCCGGTTCCCCCGGGCCCAGCATCGGAGGCGGCCGGGGCCGCCGGCGGCGCTGCTTCGCGCAGCGCCGAGGCCCAGAATCGGGGTTTAGGGTTTCGGGCTTCGGGTTTAAGGTTTAGGGTCTACAAGCTCTGCCGCAGCTTGTCCCCTCCTGCCTAGGAGCCCACCTGCGGTGGCTATCAGACCCACCCGCAAACCACCCTACCACTCTCCCCTCGTTGTGAACACAGCGAATGGGAGCGCTGGGGAACGCATGGGAGCACCTGGGAGCGCTGGGAGCGCTTGGGAGCGCCTGGAACGCCTGGGAGCGCTTGGGAGTGCCTGGGAACGCTTCGGAGCGCCTGGAGCGCTTGGGGGCGCATGGGAGCGTTGTGAGCGCCTGAAACATCATGGAAGTCATATTGTAAAACACAAGATTCTGCGACAGCGGCGCACTTGGTAAGGAAAGTCTCATAGGTGTATGCATGAACGCATGATCATAAATATTGTTATTGCAAGGGATGGCGAGGGTTTACGTCCGCGGACGCGCATTTGCAACCGCAATGGATTATGCACGCATGGTCAAGAAATTACATTTTTTGCAAGGGATGGCGAGAGTGTACGCCCGCGGACGCACATTTCCATTGTAAATCGCGATGGATTACGCACGCATGATCAGAAAATAATATGTTTTGCAAGGGATGGTGCCGGTTTGCACGCCGGGTCGTATGTTATCGTATGTACCCGTTTTTCTGTATTCAGGGTTTCTTTTTGTAATGATAAGATTGAGAATCCACTAGCCCATTAAAGCCTGTTGGACGTGCCCCACCCACCCATGACCCAAGACACATTGATCTCAAAACGACGACGACGATACCGATGACGAAGACGACGATATTGATCTCAAAACGACGACGACGACGACGACGACGACGACGACGACGACAGTCGCGCAAAGTCTTCTGGGAAACCGCTGCAACGGCGATGCGGCACGCGCGCGCGACGACGCGATTTGAAGAACAACGTGTATTTACGCGAGTCCCTGTGCGTCGCAAGGACGCCGCCCAACGGCGGTGAGATTGCATGGAGTGGCTGCGCAAAGAGCGCGGGATAGCTCGCTGTCTCGAGGAGACGGATCCCCAGTTCGCATCCTTAGCACTGCGGCACGGTGCGCGAAGGCCGATGCAAGGGCGATGCGACGCGCGCACTTTTTCCGTCGCAACCGCAGGCGAAGGCGCCAGCGGCGAGTCGAGTCAGCTCGGGCTACGAGCGGAACTAATTGCCGGCGCGCGCGCGGAGCTAAGCAGGACATACCGCCGGGGGTGGGAACCGCGAAGCGGCTGCGCCGAAGCTGTGCTGCAGCGCCGAGGGTGGGAACTGCAAGCGGCGACGCGCGCATTTTTTTTTACAGCCGCGGGCGGAAGCGCCAGCGGCGGCGGGTAACGGTCAGGCTGCGGCCGCTACAAATTGGCCGGAGGCGGCGCGCGTACCGCGGCCGGCGCCGAGCGGCGGGTGCAAGGGTGCTGCTGCCCAGGGAGTTTGATGGGGACCCAGCACCCAGGGAGAAGTAATTACGCTGCCAAAGTGGCGCGATGCAAGACCCCAACCGTGTCAGTCCTACAGAACAAATGCAGTCTGAGACACTAGCGACGCGCGCACGCGAAGCGACAAAAACGAGTAGCTCCCCGCAGCAACTTACCAACGCCTTGGCGATGCATACCCTGGCTTTCCACGAGGCGCGCGGGAAGGATCTGCGTGAGGGGTGCGCCCAGCGTTTTTCAAAAGCTCCCAGAACACCATTCCTGGCACTCCGAGGGCAAGGATCTAAGGGGTGCACCCTGGGATTTGCAAAAGCTCTCAGAACACCATTCCTGGCAAGCCGAGGGCAAGGATCTGCGTGAGGGGTGTGCCAAAATGGGGGGGGCGCATAAGAGGGGGCGCATAAGGGCGGGCTAAGCATTTCAGGATTTAAATATCTATAGGCTCTTAGTTCTTAGGGTTTAAGGTGTTGCCCGCTTCGCGGCGTGGGCGCGGGCACGCATCCCACCCCCACATCAAGATTGTTGAGGGTGGGATGCAGTGTGCGCGCTCGCGTTGCTCGTCCTCCCGCCCCAATCCACCCCCGCTAATCCCTTTTAGGGTTTCGGGTCAAAATGGATCTCCCCTTTGCCCCCACTCATGGGGGTTTCGACACAAGCGTCTGCAAGCGTTTTTGCGCATTGGGGAATGTCCAAGCCGCTCAAAAACCTCAATCCTTGTCTCGGGGCCGAAAACTGCTACCTCCCTTCGTGATTTCTTCTTGACGCGAAGGGACCTGGGTCGTCGTTGTCGTCTGAAGTCGTCGGCTTCAGTCGTCGCCGCCTTGCGTCTGCGTCGCCCTCGGGGGGCCTCTCGACGGGGCCGGCCCCCAAGACGGCCCCCAAGACGGCCACAACTCCCGGGCCCTACCCGAGGCCGCTTAGACCGCTGGCGACGCTGTCTTGCGCACCGCTCGCGTGTGCGTCGACCTCGGGGGGTTCTTGACGGGGCTGGCCCCCAAGACGGCCTCCAAGACGGCCCGGGAACATCACAAGAATTGTGGATGCCGCGACAATGGACACCCTAACAGTCCTATCATCGAATTAAAAATGTGTTTAAAATGTCGGAACAATGTCCTGGAAGTGTTGATAACATGTTTTAACATGTTTGAAACAGTTGTAACACATTGGCTATACATCTGGAAATGATTTGGCAACATGCTTCCTCTCCACTGATCGCCCTCCACAACACAAGAGGGCCCAAGACTGCGCCAGGAGGGCTCCAAAAGGCCCCAAGATCCACGCTCCTCGGGAGAGCTCGGGAGAGCCATTGCGCCCACGGCTGCCCCGAGACCCCCAAGCCCCCAGCAGGCCTTCCATCGGCTGCACGCACGAGTGACCATGGGTAGGAGTGACCTTTGAGGCGCGGCGTTTCGGGGGCCGCGGGGGGACCAAACCTGGGCGCGGAAGCCGCTGCTCCTGCTTCGTCTTCAGCCATCTGGGGGCCCATCTGTGCCCGCACCAAAGGTCCCTCCGGCGAAAGGTCACTCTCACGCCTAGTCGACTCCAAGAGAACACGCAAACAAAGCCCCAAGACGCCCCCGAAGGGCCTGCAAGAAGCCCTCGAGAGGTGACCCGACAACCATCCAACCTTCTAAGGGCACCTCCAGGCACTCCCTGGCGCTGCAAGAGCTCCCAAGCATTTTCCCGGCGCTCCCTGGTGACTCCCAGGCGGCTCACAGGCTCTCCCGGGCACCTCCAGGCACTTCCCAGGGAGGCCCCGGCTCCATCCAGTATGCTTCGAGAGCCGCCAGAACCGCCGCCTCGAGACCACTCCCCCGCCAACAGGAGCGTCGCGCAGCGAGGCACCGCAGTCGCGGGGCGGGAACGTCACTGCGCACGATGCGGCGCGTTGCCCCGATCGCGTTCGTGTTTGCGCCCTGACGACGCTCGAGAAGGCCGACGACGATCATGCTGCACGCGCCAGCTCCAGCGGCGACCGCGCCGCGTCCGACAGCACTTGCCCACTGACCGGCAAGCTCCACGTGGGTTGCCGTGCAGACAAGACCGTGACCGCGACGAGGCCGCGGGCCCCCGAGGTCGTGTCGAGCGACGTTCCCGCTGCCTCGCCGGCGTCCATCAGCCAGCAGCCGCTGCCCACGTCGTCGCACCTGAGCGGATGCGCGACCGTGCCCCAGGTGAGGCCTTGGACGTGGAGGACGAAGGAGATCTCGACCCCGCTGGGGCCGCTGAGCAGCACGGAGCAGCGCCCTGGAGGCGCGCCCGCGGCAGCCGTGCGATCACCATGCTGGCGATCCCTACGGGCGCCATTGGGGAAAATGCGCAGAAGAAACGTGCCGATGCCGGACAACTCAAAAGGCGCAGCGAGGGACGACCCGTGGCGCATTATACCGGTCCAAAGCCGATCCTCCAACCACGCCGCCCGTGGTGAGAAAGCCTCAAAGAGCGCATGCGTGTCGAGCCGCAAAATAGATGTACGATCTCTGGCCGCGCCGCCCTGATACGAGAACCAGGTTGGCAGGTAGGTGACCTCGAGCGCAGTCACAGTGAGTTCATACCTGGCGAGGTCCCTGGCGTCCAAGTTGACGTCGAGGCTCGCACTCGCAACGAGCCAGCGGGCTGCAGTTTGATTGCAAGATGTTGCTTCTGACTGCGCCACTTGCCCGTCAAGGTAAAGGTCCATCGATGCGCGCAAGTAGTACCCTTCGGGCCCAGAGATGACGACGAACGATCGATCAAGTGCAACCAGCAGCCGCAGCCGGAGCCCACTCATCGTGTGTAGCGCAAACGGGTCTGACCAAGTGCTGACCAAGCTCACATTCAAAGCATCAAAACCCAGGCCACTGTCCAGGCCCATCTGCATCAGGGCGCGAACGCTGGCGTCTCTGGTCTTGCGCAGCTCCCAAAAATGCTCGAATGGCGTGGCGCTGAACCGGTGCGTGTGCTGCACGGACTGCACCGTGTCCACAGCAGCCTCGCCAGGGTCCAATTTCGACCGCCGCAATTTCGAGGATTCGAGCTTCCAAACCGGCCGATCGCCGCTCGTCGTGCAATCGCTCGCATCGCCAACACAGAAAGAGAAGAAGCTGCAAGTGCGTGCTCCGTCGCAGTCGCAATCGCTGCGGCACGTGTGCGAATCCGTCTCGGCCGTGGCGTAGCAAGCCGAAGCGCACAGCCCGTCGTAGCGACTGCTAGTGAATCGGAAGTGAGAAAGCACCGAATCATCAACAGCACGCGCGGCCGTGTACATGTACTGGATCGGCAACAATAAAGCATTGCGATCCCATGCGCAGACGCAGACGAGCGCCGGCGAGAGCCATGGGAGGCAGCACGCCAGGAATCGTCGAAAGATAAATCTCGGCGGCCTCCACGTCTCCTTTACCAACGCCAACGCCCCGAGCTCATTGGCGCAAACCGTGTGGCCGCAAGTCAGCACATACGTTGACGCCGACGCCGAGAGGCAGACTGGGCACTCGGCCTCGATGAAGCAGCGCCGCACCGGACCAGTCGGCACGCGGCACGTTGGGCAGCTGGGAGCCATGTCTGACTGCAAAGAGCCTGCTGTTGCTTGAGCGTGATAAGCGCTGCACACAGCGGCTATGAACACACACGGGCGATCTGATGCCGTGAACCGAGCAGCAACAACAACGTCGAACAACACATCTTACCTGCGGCGCTCTCCACCGATTTGACACGGCAATGACCTAGGTGTCTTGTACGCTGAAGAGCTGACATTTTCGCAGCAACATCAACACTCAGAGCTCCAATGTTGGCAAACGGCCCTGCGTAGTTTTCACCCCTCGAGCTAAACCCGCGAGTCGGGGTGGATGGGCGCAGCCTCACTCAGGCTCTCTGGATTGTTCTTCACAGCGCAGGTCCATAGTGGCGATACAGCCTTACCCAGTCAGGGGGATCTGGGGTGCGCAGATGCCTGAAAAGGCAAGAGCATGATAGTCAATCAAAACTTTTGAGCAACACTGTTTGGCATGTGGAGATCCTCTTGGACGCTTTCTTTAGGCCCTCTTGGGCCGTCTGGGAGGCTTCTTGGGCTACATTGCAGCTATGTTTGCCGTCTTGGGACGGGTTCAAGTCCCCCAGCCAGGGAGGGGACAAGAGGCCCAGTACTGGAACTAGGGCTCTCTGGGGCCTCCGGGACCCCCTCCCAATGCTTTTATTTCTCTCTCTCTCTCTCTCTTTCTGTCTGCCTCTCTCTCTACACACATACATATATATGTGTATGTGCACACGCAGGCTGTACAGGCACACCTCCGATGGCCTAGAGTCCCACAGGTACTAGTGGGCCTCCGATGTAGCCTGTGTGCGCTGCGTTCCCCTTCGTATATCCTTTTGGTTCCGTTTGGAGCTAAGGTCTGAGAAATGTCTTGCATTGGCTCAGCCTCTGGGCGATACGATATCGATCGCAACACCATGACCGAGTACCGCGGTGCGGATGTCAGCTCGGAGGGCACGCTGGTAACAGCAGGAGCAGGATCAGGAGTAGAACCAGGAGCAGGAGCAAGAGTAGCAGGAGCAAGAGCAAGATCAGGAGCAAGAGCTGGAGCAGGAGCAGCAGCAGAAGAAGTAGTGGATGATGGGGGCAGAAGAAGTTGGAGGTAACAGTTCTTTTGAGGGAGGGAAGTTAAGAGGGAGCGCGGGAATTGCACAACACATATCGCATCGCGTTTGGCCATTCTGACTTGGGTGTCAGACTTATCACAAACGTACATGCAAGATGCGACGTCCAGCTCATTTAAAACAATACTTGCGTTTTGAGCTGCAACAATTGACATACTATAAACACCTCCGAGTGCAACAATAGTGTCTGCGTATCGAGTGGCGCCTTACTAAACAGGTATTCAACAGAAGTGCCTTATGAGGTGTTTGCCGATGTCATCGTATCGTCGCCGCGCTTGACAAGGTACTCAAACATCCAGCTTCCACATCTGCCTTATGAAACACATGACGGCCAGGTGTTGACGCTGGCTCGTAGCCGTGATGATTGGGCGCGGCGACCAGACTGTCACTTCATATGTTTACTGTATTCCAGCGCCATGGGTGATGCAGGGATGCCCAGCTCCCTACTTCTCCAATTGGTGTCCAGAGAGTTGTTCACATAATCTAGTTCCTGAGCGCTTGGGCACAACAAATTGAACAATCAAGCACAACGCGTTTGCAAACCAAATCTCTGACACCGTATAAAACACGCGGCCAACACTTGTCCAACAACAACTCCACAAAGAAAGAAACAAAACAACCAAAAGACGACGAACATGCACTCCATTACAATCCAATCCAGCCGGCTGGCAACCGACTACAGGTGGCTAAGAAGGCTGGGCGGCCATCAGCACCCCGTGAGCGCTGAAGGGGGCGCGCTCGCAATCTAGCCCCCTCCCCTTCCTCGGGGGCGCGCAAACATGGATTAGCGATCCATGGATTTGGCGCGCGGTCGCCGAATCCGTGGATCGGGGGAGGCGATCTCTCCAAAATGCGGCCGGCGCCCCCCCCCCCCCTCGTGGCGACGCCCGCGCGCGCATCCCCGCGCAGCGAGGCGGGGGAGCAGACGCCGAGAGGAAGCTCCCCCCCCCGCCGCCCCGGGTGGCCTGGGACCTGGGCGGCGCGAGCGCACGCCCCGCATCCCCAGCCCCAGGGCAATCCTGGTGTCCAGGGGGGGACGCGTGCGCGCGCCCACTCTGGCCAAGCGTTAGGTCGGGCATGTCCTCCAACAGGCGGATCTTGGACGATTTCTAAGAGAATTAAAAAAAAACGTCCCCTGACTATGTTTTGACTGTTTTTGAATAGTCCTCCTGTGGAGGGGCACGCCCGACTTAGGCCAAGCGCCCCTCCGACCCCTCCACCCCTACCCCCGCCCCCCCCTCTCCTCCGACCGAAGTTGTTCGTGACGTCGGCCCCAAGGGTCTCGACCACGCTCCCGGGGCCGGCTTCTCATCCTGCGTCGCTCTGTTGACGGTCCCCGGGCTCGGAAAAAGGGTCTCCAGGGGCCGAAAAAAATATAAAAAAACTTGACGTCACGACTTCTGCTGCAACGCGTAGGTCTGAGGGTCTATATTCCCTCCGACCCCTGGCCTGGGGCAACCAATCCCGACATCTCGGGAGCGGCAAAGAGGAGGGCGTCCAAGAGGGGGGGGTGCAAATCATGACCGGCGGCACGTGCGCGGCCCAGCGGGGGGGCCAGGGACGTAAAGAAACAAGAAGAGGCGCCATGAAATCTGGGGAAATATCATGGCCCCCGCCATGATATCCACCCCCCCCTAGTCATCACCCCCCTCTTTTCCGCCCCTGGCAATACCGACATCGCTACTCCCCGGACCTCTCCCGGGATGCGTTCTGACCAGGATTTCGAAGCGACTCCCGCGGTGGCGAAGGGGGCTTCCCAGGTGGCCCACCGAAGGGAAAACCACGGGAAGGGCACCGGCATCGGTACCGTTTCCTCCTCTGATAGCCTCCTCCTCCTCCTCCTCCTCCTCCTCCTCCTCCTCCTCCTCCTCCTCCTCCTCCTCCTCCTCCTCCTCCTCCTCCTCCTCCCCCCTCCCTCCTCCTTCTCCCCCCTCCCTCCTCCTCCTCCGCCTCCTCCTCCACCTCCTCCTCCTCCTCCTCGTCCTCCCTCTGGGCGGCGGATGGCATCATCTGCTCGTCGAAGTCGCCCGCGTTCGCGACGATGCGCTGCTTCCTCTCTCGCACCGCCTCCCACAGATGCGCCGCCTGCGTGGGAGCGCGGGGGCGCTGTGCCACCCGGGCGAGACGGACGATGGGAGCGAGGAGGACAGGCGGGAGGAGGAGGAGGAGGAGGAGGAGGAGGAGCTGACGCCTAGAGCGCTCGCTCCGGCGGCATACCCAAGAAGGAGGAGGGGGAGGAGGAGGAGGACCACAGTGAACCCACGATGTATCAGCAATTATGCAATACACCTCCGTCCCAGGCCCCATCCTCACAGGTCCCTATCAGCCTTCTCTGACGCTGCAAAAAGCGCCCCCTTGTGAAACCATCACCCGATGGACTAGTTGATGACGTGAGATGCCCGTTTTGGAAAGGACCTGCCTTGCATCCTTCGACCGCACAATCAGGCACGCGGAAGGATATAACCATACAGGTAAACGAGGTACCCAATTATCAGTTTCGCAAAAGGACGGCGGGGCTGCGGCCTTGGCGCTGTCGCCCGCGAGCTCGACGAGTATCTGTGCAACCTCGCAGCGACAGCGGCCGCCACCGCACCTCTGTCCACTGCCCTCCCTCTCCCCCTTCCCGGCCCTATCCTCTCGCGCCTCGTGCCTCTCTCCCTTGGCCCCGCTGTCTTCCTTCTGTTTTCCCAGCAATCCTGTGGTGCTGGGTCCTCGTTTCGAAGAGACAGCGCCACGCGTTCCTTCCTTCCTTCCGCCCTCCTCCTCCTCCTCCTCCTCCTCCTCCTCCCTCTCCTGCCTCCTCCCCATCCCAAATTGAGCACACCCCTCATACGCTTCGTTGCCACATAAGGAGCTCCACCGAGGGCCCTAGTGGCTGCGTTCGCATGTGGTTCCACCGCCATTTCGGCACACCTCTCACATGTTTCGTGGCCCCATAGGGAGCTCCACCGAAGGCTCTAGTGGCTGCGTTCGCATGCGGTTCCGCTCCCATGTCGGCACACCCCTCACACGTTTCGTGGCCCCATAGGGAGCTCCACCGAAGGCCCCAGCGGCTGCGCTCGCATGCGGTTCCACCCCCCATGTCGGCACACCCCTCACACGTTTCGTGGCCCCACAGGGAGCTCAGCCGAAGGCCCCAAGGACTGCGTGTGCATGCGGCTCCACCCTCATTTCGGCACACCTCTCACACGTTTCGTGGCCCACAAGGAGCTCCACCGAGGGCCCTAGTGGCTGCTTTCGCATGCGGTTCCGCCCCCATTTCGGCACACCCCTCACACGTTTCGTGCCCCCGTATGGAGCTTCACCGAAGGCCCCAGCGGCTGCGCTCGCATGCGGTTCCACCCCCCATGTCGGCACACCCCTCACACCGTTCGTGGCCCCATAGGGAGCTCCACCGAGGGCCCCAGTGACTGCGTTCGCATGCGGTTCCACCGCCATTTCGGCCCACCCCTCACACGTTTCGTGGCCCCATAGGGAGCTCCACCGAGGGCCCTAGTGGCTGCGTTCGCATGCGGTTCCACCGCCATTTCGGCACACCCCTCACACGTTTCGTGGCACCAGAGGGAGCTCCACCGAAGGCCCCAGCGGCTGCGTACGCATGCGGTTCCACCCCCCATGTCGGCACACCCCTTACACGCTTCGTGGCCTCACAGGGAGCTCAGCAGAAGGCCCCAAGGACTGCGTGTGCACGCGGCTCCACCCTCATTTCGGCACACCCCTCACACGTTTTGTGGAGGAAATCATCTCAACTCAGGTATTCACAACTGCATGTTGTCCTTCGCCAGGGTTTTGGTTGTTCTTTTTCTCTCTCTCTCTCTCTCTCTCTCTCTCTTTCTCTCGCATGTCATCTGTATGTGTCAGAGACTGTGGGGCGGGAACGAAAGGACCCCAACCAGGATTGTCGGTTTCCGTGGAGCTCCTCGGTCGAGCGTGCGGGCGAGGCAAGGCTGCACGAGGGCAGCGGTGTGCCGAGATGACTAGGAAGCCAAATCGTACAACAAGCTGCTCCTCCAATTGCGCGGGTTGTTCCATGGTCGCCCGACGGTCGTCCCGACGGTCGTCCCGAGGTTGTCCCGAGGTTGTCCCGCGGTTGTCCCGCGGTTGTCCCGTGGGTTGTTGCGCGAATGTCCCGAGCCTTATCCTGTGGGTTGTTGTTCCGCGGGTTGTCCCGCGGGTTGTCGTGTGGTTGTCCCGTGGGTTGTCCCGTGTGTTGTCCCGTGCTTGTCCCGTGGGTAGGTGGTCACGTGGGTTGTCCAGTGGAAATCCTGTGGGAAATGCAAATCGGCGTGCCAATCCAATTTCACACTACCTGACGCAAATCGAAATCCAAATTGAACCGCCTGTCAAAATGCAAATCCCACCAGCCCTTTGGGCGTGAGTGGTTTAGCGAGCTCTCTCTGTCCTCAACCCCCCTTCTACCCCTTCGGGGAGGGGTTTACCCCTCCCCCTCCCCCCTCCCCCTGGGCCTGGAGAGGGGGGGCCGCGGGTCGTCAGGGCGGTCAATTTCGACTCCTGGGAGGGCTAAAAAACGACACCCCTCACCAGGATTCTGGCCCCGACGGGGGGGGGCAGAAAAAATACTCTCCTCTTCTTTGAAGCCAAAATCATTGATGTTACAACGGTTTCGGCCCCATTTTGGCCTTCTGAGGGGGCAGCGTTCCTCTGCCTTCATAGCAAAATCATTGATGTTACGAAGGTGTTGGGCTCATTTTCTCCTTCTCAGGGAGCAGCGCTCATTTGCGCTTCTGAGGAGGTCGCACGAGGCCCCAAGATGGCCCCAAGAGGCCCCCAGGAGGCTCCCAAGAGGCCTCCAAGAGGCCCTCCAGAGTCCCCCAAGAGGCCCCAAGAGGCCTCCAAGAGGCCCCCAAGAGGCCCCCAAGAGGCCCCAAGAGGCCCCAAGAGGCCCCCAAGAGGCCCCCAAGAGGCCCCCAAGAGGCCCCCAAGAGGCCCCAAGAGCCTCCAAGAGGCCCCCAAGAGGCCCCACGAGGAGCCCGAACGACTCACACCGGGACGAGGGGCCCGAACGACTCGCACCACGAAGAGCCCGAACGACTCACACAACAAGGAGGGGCCCGAACGACTCACACCAGGACGAGGCGCCCGAACGACTCACACCACAAGGAGCCCGAACGACTCACACCACGACGCGGGCCTCGAACGACTCACACCACGAGGAGCCCGAACGAGTCACACCAGGAGGAGGCGCAGCGCTCATACAAGCCCCCCACGATGGCCCCAAGAGGCTCCCCCGAGGCACCCAAGACGCTCCTGGAAGCCCCTGGGGCCGCCAAGAGGCCCCCAAGACGCCCCAAACGGCCTCCAAGAGGCTCCCAAGAGGCCCGAAGAGGCTCCCCCAAGGCACCCAAGACGCTCCTAGAAGCCCCTGGGGCCGCCAAGAGGCCCCCAAGACGCCCCAAAAGGGGACGAGGTGCCCGAACGCCTCACGCCACGAGGAGCCCGAACGACTCACACCAGGACGAGGGGCCCGAACGACTCACACCACGAAGAGCCCGAACGACTCACACCAGAAGGAGGGGCCCGAACGACTCACACCAGGACGAGGCGCCCGAACGACTCACACCACGAGGAGCCCGAACGACTCACACCACGACGAGGGCCCCGAACGACTCACACCACGAGGAGCCCGAACGAGTCACACCAGGAGGAGGGGCCCGAACGACTCACACCAGGACGAGGGGCCCGAACAACTCACACCACGAGAAGCCCGAACGACTCACACCAGGACGAAGAGCCCGAACGACTCACACCACGAAGAGCCCGAACGACTCACACCAGGAAGAAGGGCCCGAACGACTCACACCAGGACGAGAAACCCCAAACGACTCAAACCACGAGGAGCGCTTTCTCTCCCTCCTCCTCCGCCTCGTCCTTCTCCCGCTCCCACCACAAGGAGGATGTACAAGGAGGCGGGAGGAAGGAGGAACAGGGGAGATATGCGGGTGCAGGCGGAAACACGCCTGAAAAACACGACTGTCGGCATGCTTCGCAAGAGTTGCTGTTTTGAGATGGGCTGGTGGGGATACGCGAAGCGTAAAGAATTGGAATGTAGGTGAAACTTTGAAAATGTCCATCGACATGCACAACGGAAATCAAGTCGCATTGAAAATCCGCAAGCAGTCGAAACACACAGCAAACATCAAATCTGGATGCAGCTGAAAAGAAAGTCTAAGTGAAAGTGGAATCGCAATCGTAATGCAAATTGAAATTGGAATTGGAGTGCGAAGTGGACTGAAACTATGGATGCGATTCGGAATCAACCGACCCCGGGTCGCTGGGGGTGAGAAAGCGTGTGAGATAATTGGCTGTCCCCCTCCCCCTTTCCCCCTCCCCCAGGGTCCAAACTGCCGTCTGAGGGGAGGAAAAGGGAGGCGAGCTCGTGAACGCACCCCGCGAGCCTCCGGCGGCCTCTGGGGCCTCGAGATCTGCACCCTGCGACCTCCACGATGCCCAAGATGCCATCTAGGCTGGCTCAAGCCGGGATCGAACACGCCGACAGACAGACAGACAGAAGCCGCGCCCTGACGGCGCATTGGCAAACATATTGAAAATGCTGATCACATGCGTGTCGGCATGCAGAAAAACGCAAGATTGCGCAGTGCCTCGGGGAACCGTCGTTGTAGCCTTTGTTTCCCCCAAAACCGAAACACCCGAGGAGGCCTCAGAAACACCCAAACTGGCCTCAGGTCGTTTCAAGAAGCCTCCAAGACGCTCCCAGATGGCTCCAAGGGGGCCACGAGCCTCCAAGAGGGCTCCAATATGGCTTCAAGAAGCCTCCAAAAGGGCCACAGGCTCGTGCCTTGCTCCGTGTTGCTGACACGGCATTGCCATTCGAACGTGCGACCCTGATCCTGGTCACAACTGATATCTCCGACGCTTCCTCTGAATGCCGGCATGCACCGATCATTCCCCATACGGCTATTGCACCGGGGCGCCCAAGACGGCCCACCGGGGCCCGAACAGGGCTCAAGAGGGGCCCAGAAGGGGAACTGCAAATGAAATTTCGAACCCTCCGCCCCAAAAAGAGCCCCCAAGACCGCAATCCGGCGACCAGGAACCCCCCAAGAGGCCTTAAAGGGTCCAAAAGAGCCCCCCAGAGGCTCCCAGACGGTCTCCAAAAGGCCTCCAAAAGAGTCAATGTGGACTTCTTCCCTCTTCTGGGGGTCGGCGGAATGATGTAAGACTCTAGGATACATCTCGGAACGCACATAGAACTAAACATCGGCATGCAAATGGAAGTGCAACTCGGCATGCAATCGGACTGCAAATCGAAATGCAAATCCAAGTGAAGTGGAATGCAGCTCGAGATATAAGTCGTGACGTAAGTCGACATGCAATCGCCATGTAAGCGGGAGTGCAAGCACCACTGCATTTGACATGAAGCAGGTCGAAGTGCAACCCCGACTGCCACCCAAATGCACATCCACAAGCAAACGATGCCCGGCAACAGAAAAAGTCCTGGGCATCCGAAGGGTGGTCGGGGATGGACAGACCCCCCTTAGTAAAACGTGGTTTAGTGAAAACGGCCTGGGGCCCAAACCTGGCGGGCGCAAGCCTGGAAAACAACGGCCACGGCGCCCTCTCGAGAACCGAACACGGACAAGTCACTGATCGACGTGTCACTGTTGGGGGTGTATGTCCACCCCCGAGGTGGTCTGTGAGGTGCAGGTGCAAGCATATACCGGAGACGCGCACGCCACGCGCGCGCCCAGGCTCGAGTCGTCGCCGACCACGCTGCAAGGAGGCATCGGGGCAATCCCGCGATGTGCCTTCGAATTGGCGCCCCCTTGCGCTGGCCTGATATTGTTCTGGCTGGCCTACAGTGCGGGCGCGGCCGCAAGAAACCCATTCCTGAGAACCCGCGCGCGAGGTGCACCTGAGGGGAAACCCGGAGCACCCTGAACGCAGCAGCTCCTTCCACGGCCGTGGGAAGCCGCCGCGCAGCGCGAGGAGCGAAGAAACCCAGGATGCCCTGACGAAAAACATATGGTTTCTTGATGCGCGCCCCCACTGTATGTGAACTCCTCACCGTTCGGCTACACGCAAGAGTGACCCTGGGTAAGAGTGACCTCTGGTGCGCGGCTTTGGGGGGGCCGCGGGGGGTCCAAACTCAGGCGCGCACGAGGCCACTGTCGCACCGCAATCGGTGAGTGGGGGACCCCATTGTGCCCGCACTAAAGGTCACTCCGGCGAAAGGTCACTCTTACGTGTAGCCAAACCGTGCGGCACGTTCCCCACGATTGCCGTCGGCGCTCTTGCGTGCGCGGCGGGACTTCGGAGGCCACCGGGCCACCGTTCGTCCCGATCTCCCTTCCCGTCCGGGACTGGTCGTCATGTAGCATCCCTATGTCCACGTATGTGCCTCTGCAGACACCACTGTGTGTGTGTGCAGGTAGGTGTTCCCGAGTCTCTACGTCTCTCTCGTTCTCTCTCGTTTTCTCTCTCTCTCTCTCAT